GTACCTCTGTAATTTTAATAAAATAAATTATTTTTTAGTATTAAGAATTACTTTGTATTTTTTAAACAGAAACAACAAAAGCTATATAATCATTTCTTAAATAGCAAATGCAAAATATGTATTTTAAAAATACCTTAAGCCAAAAATACCTTAAGCCGGCTCTGGCACAAAGACATTTGTCGCGACTTATTCTCACTACGTTAAATATAGCCGGTACCTCAAGTGATAGGTACGAACATTCACAGCTTCAGTTTCGTGCAGATTATAACGAAATATTAACTTCGCAAGTTTATTGTGGTGCATATTCGCACTTCTATTCTAAATAGTGCCATATCGGTGCCTACTTTTAGCGTTTTACGTTTATAAACATTTTAATATGTCTCTTTTTTACATTATGTTATAAACATTGTAATATGTTCCCTTTTTTTACATTATTAATAACAAATAAAACATTTGTATGTATAATCTTATTCCATTTGTTTTCTCTGTTTTAACTTCCATGATAATATGAATAGTACTTTTTAATATAATTTTAATTATGTAAACGGTTTTTATTAATAATTTACTTTATAAATTGACAAAATTTGTTCTTAAAATACCTAATTTTCATTGAAATTATTTTTAGAAAAATTTATTAGAAAGATTCAAACTTATTAAATGAACCTATTAAATGAACACAAAATATCTCAACTTCTGGCTATGTGGCAAAATATTTTACTTTCTATTTCTGCAACAACAATAATTTTTTATTAAAATACATCATTTTAACTAAAGAATCACGCAAGTTTCATTTCATTTCATAAAATAACAAAAAAAATGATAGCTTTTTTTAAAAAAAAGTGACGTTTTCCAAAACGATAACTCATTTATAATTAATTTTAGATTGTTATATAGTTTTTTAATTAAATTGAATAATACCGTTGAATATTTGAGAAAATTTTATCTCAAAAAGTGTGGTTTTCAAAACATTTCTGTTTTTCCCTCGTAAAAAAGAACTACTAGTGCAGTGATAACACTACTGAAATGTAGTAGTGGTACTGCTGTTATAATAGTGATACTACTACATTTCAGTAATGTTTTTACTGCACTAGTAGTTCTTTTTTACTAGGGTTATCCTTAGGAAATATGTACAATTTTAAATATTAAATAATCGTATTCAAATTCGCACCATCGTCCATTAGTGGATGCTCAAAAGAAGTGTACCATTTGAAGGTTAATACTGATCGTGATATTATCGAAATATAGCCTAAAAGATATGGAATAGAAAGAATTGACAAAAAAATAAGTGAAAATAAATGAAAATAATAAGAAAATAAATATTTCATTATTATATTTATTGCACACGTAATTCTGGTTTTATATAATAAATTATAAATATACATTGTATTTGCACAATGCACGCGATCAGCGCGCGATCTATTGAATATCTAGGTGTAAAGACAATAGGATAGAACTAAATCAACGATAAAAATAACGACAAATTCGTTACTGTTATTGTTACTGTAAAAATGATGACGTCATCGTTATCTTTACAGATAGAAAAAAAAGTAAAGATTGTTATCAGAAAAAATGTAACAAAAACAGTAATGGCGTTATAAATAACGAGTTATTTTCAAATAAAACCTTGCATATTTAACAAAAAAAAAATGTATTAGAAACTCAAATTTTGTATAAAAAGATGATTGAACAAGATATATCATTTTTATGTGAATATATCTATTTAAGATACTCAATAAAGATATTACGTTTTGCTCATCTTTCATTAGACCATCCGGAAATTCCAAGTAGAATGGGAACAATTAACAATGTAAAAAATTTTGATGCAAATTTCTTCGGATTATCTTTCGAGCAAACACACACACTCTCGCCCGAAGCGAGAATGTTACTGGAACATTCTTATGAAGCAATAATCGACGCAGGAATCAATCCAAAGCAATTACGAGGAAAAGATACTGCTGTAATTATGGCAACATCTTATACTGAATTACAAAAATCCTCTTTATATAATACCACTCAGGTAGAGAAAATTATTAATTAATATACTATATAAATATAATAGTAAAGAATTATTATTTTAATTATTTAAGAATAAGAAATTATAATGTGCTAAGATTCTGTTATTAGTTAGGAGGTCACAATATTATTGGATGTAGCAAATCTACACTCGCAAACATGATTTCATATCATTTTGATCTGAAAGGACCATCATATGTTGTCGATTCAGCATGCAGTTCTAGCCTTTATGCCTTGGCCGTTG